TTCGACAAAGACCGATAAAGAGGACAACGCGAAGCCGGAGGCGAAAGAACTGATAGGAGCACGACCCCAATCCAGGCGAGCTCAGCAGGCACTACGGTGCTGATTCACTCATGCGAGAGTTGAGTGGGGCGGGAAGCTCTCCTCCAGCCTCGACCAAGGCTATACTGCGCAACTGCGGTTGCCTGAAGGAGAAAGGGGAGGGGGAGAAGGTGACAATTTTAGATTTTGAGCTATGCTACAAGAGCATTGCACAGAGAGAGAGAGAGAGACAGAGAGAGAGAGAGAGAGAGAGAGAGAGAGAGAGGCGTGGTGTAACTTGTAACCTAATTTGGTAGAACTTCCTCTAAATATCAAATATATTCAGTAATAACAGATTTACTTACAACTTTTGCGACTTCAGCATCCATGATGTCTTTGGTCCATTCAAAAAAAAATTTACATGCCACGTAGGAATTAGTCTCAATCTAGAAAAAAAATATTTTCCAATCCAATTGGAAGTGGACGGGTTCCTGCTGATGTGAGAATAAGAAAAAAAAGGCTTCGTCAACTTTTAAGTCTATTTTAGAATCAAGTAGAGACTCGGTCTTTTACAGTGAAATGAATATGATTACTTTTATTTAGTTATATCCATGTCATCCAAAATTTTAGTGTATTTACATGTCATGTAAGAAAAATTAGACCCAAAGCATTGTAGAAAATATGCACTAACGGCTAAAAGTAAAATTAAAGGTGTTTGAAAATGGTATTGATCAAGCCAAACTTTGGCACTAAGGTATACCTCCCCTATAAAATGGGCCTAAGTTATCACAAAAATACATTCTCTCTACAGTCAGTAATGTGCTCTCATATTGCACTTTATCTATGACAAGTGTTGACTTAGACATCAGAGGCTCGACAGCAGAACCCCTTTCGGCATTGAGTTCTTATAGGTACGGAGGCCGATCGAGGTAGAAGGAGCCCGAGTGAAGTCTTTTTCACTATTAAACTAATTATGAAAAATTGTAAAAAAAATATCCGCTAACTCATGGGATTGGACAGAGTATTTGCGATTTTAAAATAATTTATAAGAAAAAGTATTATTAGTTCTTTTTTTTNAAAAGTATTAGAAATATTTATACAAAACTTGTTGGAATAATAAGTGATTATCATTACCCATTTTTGACATATTTTCTCATTGAATACTAATTATTTTTTTTTTCCCGGAACGATAGATGTAACTATAAACTCAGAAAAACAACTACATAGTTCAACAATGAAATACAACTACCGAAAATCAAAGACTGAGAGGACTCGCATGCAAGCGGCCTAGAACCTCAATAGACAAACATCAATAACAGGAAACTAAAAGCATCTCCCCACTGCAATTAAGCCTAGGGAGATAATACAAAAACAGCAAACTAACCGGCTAACAACAAGCTAAAAAACAAAAACAAATGGCCTTAGAATACTCCAACCAGTCTTTATGAGCAATGCTTACAACTTGGTAGGCAAGGATGTGAATATTTTGAAAGAGCCACAGGTTCCGTGACTTCCAGAGCCACCAAAGCATGTAGGTTGTTAGTTGGATCCGAGCTTCAGAAGTCTCTGTCTTGTTGATAGCACACACATCAAGCCACCATCCTCTAAATGAAGTAGTGAGCTGTAACAGATTATTCCAAGATACTGGAGCTAAGTCCCATACTCTACTGGCCTTGGAGCAATGAAAGAGAACATGTTCAATTTATTACTAATTAATGCATATTGTAACTCCTTGTATTGTTTTATTTTTAAACTTAAAAAAATATAGATTATGTTATTCTTACTATATATATGGATATCTTACAATACATTTTTTTCCTTAAAAAAATAAGAAAATTATTTTATCAATAATAATCATTAAACTAGAAAGTAAACAAACAATAGTAAAAACAACTAACAAACTATTGAAAAATAATTTAGAATTTTATAAAATTCAATAAACATCGTGTTATAATAATGACATTAATCTATTACTATATAACAAAGTTACCTATTTACTAAATATAGTAGTAAAAATTCAAATTTAATTCCTTTTCAACTTTATAATTATAATAAATATAAAATTTACACGCCATTTGATTTTTTTTTTCCAGAGATTTCATATATGTTTTTTTTTTCTTTTTTTAAGTTATTTCAAAAATCAGTTCCTAATATATCTCAATAATCGTTCAATGTTGATTCAGGTACAATGTATGGACTTTTTAAAAAATTATACAACACATATTATTTATTAAATTTATCTGTTCATTGTTGATATTATATAAAAATATTCTTTTCAGTATTAAAGAGTTGATATTTTTTTTTTGTGACACCCCCAAATCGCTCTAACCCTACCACCAGCGTCTCTTTAATTTCTCCATCTCTCGGCCTTCCTCAGCGGCGGCGGACTCGGGCCTGTGGCCGTCCCCAATTGCGCGACCCATCCCTGATGCCATCTCGTCTCCGGCGCTTCCGATGGCGGACGATTGGTCGCGACCGCTCACTCCCGATTCCGCCTCTTGTGGTGAGGTTTTGTGGGCTGGTCGCCAAATCTAAGGTCTGGGGGGTGTTGGGAGGGACGTGGGTCTGCGGATGGGTCGGGGCCCTGGCAGCTGCGATCTTGTTGCGGCGGTCAGTGCGAGGAATTGCCTCTTCACCTCGGAATCCTTCACTGAAATCGAATTCAGTTTCTTGGGCTGCCTTTGAGGTACTTTCCGTCTATTGGCTGTGTTGGTTGTCGATTGAGGTTACTGGGGTTCTTTCGGGAAGGCTTCAGCTTGCCGTCAGTTCGAGCTCTGGTAGCCGACGGGTTGTGGTTGTTTTGGACGAGGTCATATTGTTCTGGGCGGGGCGTTGCTCTAGGTGCTGAGGTTCGTCAAGGTCGGGGAGGCCGGTGTTGAGGAGCTGGGCCACCCTCACTCTTCTCCGTTCGGCTAGTGGTGTTAGGCGGCGAGGGAGGGGTTCCTCTCGAACTCGACTAGTGGTGTTAGTCGGGATTGATTGGGACTGGTGTGAGGGCTGGCTCCTTCTTATTCCTTCGGTTGGTGTCGGGTCGTTTTCGGATATTAGTTCGTGTTCGGGTTCGGCTTTTGTATAGGCCTTATGGCAGTTTTGGAAGTTGCTCCTTGGACTTGGCTTCTTCTTCGTCAACGACTGCTCTCTGCTGGCTTGGTCTGTTTGTTTTGCTGTGGAAGGGCTCATTTTTTCTTTTTGTGTTATTTGAATCGTTTGATTCTGTGTTAGGTAGTATTTTGGGTCTGGGTATGAGTGTTTGTTCTGTTTTTTTGGTTTGGGCCGTTGGCCTCAGTTTGAGAGGGAGCAAATTTATTCTCCTGTGGGGAGCGGCTCTTGTCTCTATTCTCCTGTGGGGAGCTTTTTAGTTGTAAATTTTCCGTGTGTTTATTGTATGGTTGTCTTGAGTGTCTTGTTTTGGTTTCTAGCGTTGCTAGTGTCGGGCTTCTAGGCGGTCGTCAGACCTGTCCTCCCATTTTATTCAGCTTTGGGCTGCGTTCCAAGTTATATCTTTGCACATTTGTGCGTTTGTTATATATATTCTCTATCGTTTCGGAAAAAAAAAAAAGAGTTGTATTTTTAAAAAAAACTTTCATTTGCATAGGAAAGATATATATAACTATAAATCAGGTAAAAAAAACCTATTCAATTTCAAATAAAAGATTTATACACAGTAAAATTAGTTCAAAGCACTATTTTTTTACATACACACGAATATAAAGTGTGGTATTTATTTTTTTCATAGTGATTTTAGGACACAAGTGATATTTTTCTTTTTTCAGTTTGACTTTTTTCTTTACAGATAATCAACTTCCCTTAAATATCAACAATTGGTCAACGTAAATATAACTTATGCTATAAATACTAATCCCAACAGTTACAAATCAATCTTTAAAAATCATCTCAACCCACTATATATGATATATACTATCAATTCAAATTCGAAAAAATCTACTATAATTTACTAAGAGATACAATATTAAATGAAAAAAAAGGACGAACATCTTTGATATCTTAACATATATTTTTTATACTAATCGATTATCAGAGTTGTTTCTTTCAAAACATATCATATTATAAATCGTAATCAGCCATAACTCCCTCCGATAGAGGAGCTAGTAGTTGTTGTTGGCTCATCATCTTCAATGAGAGTTGACTGCCGTGCGTAATTTGCTATTATTCCGTGTAAAGTATGCCGTGAAAGTATGAATATCCGTAATCCTCAACCAATAATGGCTTTGTTGTCGAGTTGCTTTCCTTCGTTAAGGTAGTTGGTAGTGGTACCTACCTGCTAAGCTATCCCTTTTTATTCTATACTCTATTTTTGGCCCGTATCGTTCATTTATTTAACCCACTAATTATTATATCTTAACAGATATTTTATAGTAATAATTGTTAAACGTAAATATAGCACATGTTTTAAACACTAAACCCGATAGATACAAATCAATCGTTATAAATCATTTCAACGCACTAATTGTGATATATACTACCGATTTAAAATTAAGATATATATGTTATTAAGAGATACCATATCAAATGCAAAAAGAAAAATATAAAAAAATGNATCGTATGTTGGCATTTTTTTTCTTAATTAACCACTTTTCCAATCATTTGGTGAATAAATTTCAATTTAATTTTCTTGGAAAACTTATCGGTGCATCTTTTCCAATGGTTTGTTGAACGATCTCTTTTCTTTGGCATATCTGATTTTCACTATACTTTCAAAATAATATACTTATCTATTAAGGACATGACGATGTATCAAAACTCAAACAAAGAATGTTGTGTACAAGAGGTGTTTAATAATATATAAATAATATCTTTTTTATTCCAGCAAATGCGTTTTATACTTTAAATAATGATCCCATAATCCAAATTAAAATGTTTCTCTTAATATTACTAGCTCATGTATTGCACCGGTATTTGCACTGGTAGTGTGACGAGTCCCAGGCCTCACAATATGGTCCATTTAACGTAAAAGGCAACGGCCCATATCTGCAGGCTGCAAGGCCACATATTATAAGCCCAATTTACAACCGAAGGGCACACTACCTGTACTGCAGGCAGAGAAGCACTATAAATCCAATCCACGCGCTCGCTCGAAAGGCTGCTGCTTTTGCTCAAGAGAAGGCCATTTCATTTCCCACGATCAACTCTTTCGATCGTCAAATCAGGTAGTGTTTTTCCCTTTTGTTTATCACTATCTCTCAACACTTGGTATGAGAGTGTTTTAACGAGTTCTTGTTCCTTTTTTTTTAGTAGTAATGAAGGTCATAGCAGCTTACTTGTTGGCTGTTTTGGGTGGAAACACCACCCCCTCCGCCGATGATGTGAAGAATATCCTCAGCTCCGGTGCCTTTTCTCCTTCTCTTTGTTATTTGTTTGTTTTTGCGACAGGATCAGGATGAAATCTGCTTTACCTTGTTAATTTTCGAGAAGCACATAAATAGTTTATGTTTGTTATTTTCTTTTAAAATTTTTGGGAATTTGGTCTTAGATCTGGATTTTTGGACTTAGATATTTGAGGATTTGGGTCTTGTCAACCGCTGTTCGTTTTTGTTATAAGGAATTTAGGGTTTTATTAATGCTTAGATTTATTAAATTCGAGTAATGCGATTTACAATGGTGGACGCTGCTTAACTGAACTTTTGGATCACTTGTTTTGCTGTATTGGTAAATGGTCTGACCTAAGGAGCCATGAGAATATATGTTTTCTTTTTGGTCATTTGGGTTCCCTTGGTGGCATGTTATCGGGGAGTTGTAATTGTGGTCTTCTTTTTGTAAATGAAGCAACTTGGTTTATGCAATGTATTCTTATCTGCCCCATTAGAAAATTCTCTTGAATCAATAGTGGTTGATATCTTAGTTTCATTAGACCATACCTTGGCAGAAATTTGAAAATAGATTATTAATCCTGTTACTCGGTCATGTTCTTTTATCTTTTGATTTCCATATCAATGGTTGTTTCTGTTAAACTTTTTATCAGCAAGATTGTGAAAATGGCTCATTGCAATTTTAATGTCACAATGATTCTTGATATTTTTTAAAAAAGTCGAAGTGAAAAGATGCATTCCAGTCTTCCATATATCAAGTGGTTGTCTTAGAGACATTTTATAATGACATTCAATAGACTTGTATGCTTGCACTTTGTTATTATCCGGTGTTAAAGTCTCTGCTTTTCCTCCTTGTGGTTTTTTGTCATTGTTTGAGTTCAAAAATCTGTAGGTTAAGTTGTTTAATATACTAGAAATCTGAATCTGTTTGAATTAATGAGCATTCTTGGTTTTGTCAGTTGGAGCTGAGGCAGAAGATGAGAAAATCGAGTTGCTTTTGTCCCAAGTTAAGGGCAAAGATATTACTGAGTTGATTGCTTCCGGAAGGGAAAAATTGGCCTCGGTGCCCTCTGGCGGTGGTGCAGTGGCTGTTGCCGCCCCAGCTGGTGGTGCTGCCGCACCGGCTGCCGCTGCCGAGACAAAGAAAGAAGAGAAAGTAGAAGAGAAAGAGGAATCTGATGATGTGAGATTTTGACATCTTATTATATTTGATACTATTGTGGATCTTGGTGGCAATTCTACCTCTCTGCCTTTGTCTATTTTTTCTAACTTTTTTTTTCTCCTGTTGTGCAGGATATGGGATTCAGCCTCTTTGACTAAGTTGCGAAATTGTCTCTGATGTATTGAATGCCTCTTCAACCTTTTATCTATGAGTCTGTTTGTAGTAGATTTTTATTATCTTTATTGGCCGGTAGTTTTGGTTTGAACTATGGATTTTTGTTTGGTTTGGTGGGCAAAGTGAATTTAGACCTCTGAAGCTATGGAAGATATTCTGGGTTTTGCTATTTATTTACCTATTTACTGTTTTGTTTGCTTGGCGTTTGTATATTTGTGGTTTCATTACGTAGATAATAAAAACTTTGGTAATACGATATATAGGTTTTGTTTCACAAAAACCTAAATCAGCATTTGGAATGACACTATTTTGTTATAGTAGTTGAAAGTAAAAGTACAAGCTTTAGACCTTAAATATGAGATTTCCTCCTCTTGATGTTTGTTGGAATGTTTGATATGTTCTGCAACGTAGAGGAATTGTTACTAGAGCCCATTGAACCGTGTTTATTTGCTACTGTTTATCTTCAGTTAAAATAAATTGGACTTCCGTGATTGAGCAAAATGATTTTGTAGAAATTGCCTTTGCACAATGTTCCTGAAATTGGTTTGCAATTTTCATTTTATGGTGAGCTTTGAACCCTGACAAATTAGAGAGCCAAGTATGCTACTGGAGAATAATGAAACATTCAAAACTTGAACCAAAACCCAAAATGACTCCAAACTAAATGAAATTAAACCGCCCCAAAGGTGGAAACAGATCTCACACGTACGCCACTCTTTCTCTGAAAAAAAAAAACGAAGCGAAGCAAACCTAGATCCGTCGCCCCTCCTATTCCGGCCCTGCAGCCACCGGATTGGTCTTGGCCGAGTCAAGGTTGGTGCTCCTCTTGGAGCCCGGCAGGTGAAGTTGCTGGCAGTAGCTTCGCTTATGTTCTTCCCCCGGCTCCGGTGGGGTCGCCGGACACCACTTCTAGCACCAGCCATCATAATCTGCCGTTTTGTTGGAGGTCCGATCGAGTGCGTCCAGCTCTTCATCTTGGAGGCCCTTCATCTGCTACGTACAAGCCATGGCCGCATGCTTTCTGCTGGCACTTGGTTCGTCGGGCCGCTCGGCTAGGGCTGTCGTGGATGATACCTTTTCGGATCCTTGCCTCAGGCTCTCTGGTGTTCTCTTGGCGCCTCCTCTTTCCTCCCATGCCTTAGATGTCCTTCGATGCCCAAATCTAGTTCGAAATTTGTCTAGGCGGCTTAGTAGCCGGAGTTTTTGTCTAGTTTGGTTGCTTGGTTGGCATTCTTTGTTGTGGGTGTGGCTCGGTTGAATGTTTTGGTGGTCGTGGGGTTTAGCTGCTTGGTTTAGAGAAGGTTTTATTCTACTTTATTTATTGGGTGTGAGTTGTTTTTTTTCGCTCTTTTCTTTGTTTTTTCAGTTAAGTCTAGCTGCGTTTGACATCTAGTCTCCATTATGGAGTTCTAGTCTCCTTTATGGAGTTGTGTTTTGTTTTGTGTGCGCGACTATCTCCTTGCCGGAACTTGTACCCCTTGGACTCATGTGTGCCAAGGGGGTAAGTCCAAATTTTCTGCTTTTTTTAAGTTTTTCAATTAATAATATAACTGTCATTTGAAAAAATAAAATAAATCGCCCCAAAGGTGTAGTTAGATTTTTTTATCTTTTGACTATAAGATGGAAGAAAGGTTAGAAAATTAATGAAAATGTAGCATAACTAAACTTTAAAAAATAAATATAAAAAATCACTACCAATATGTTTAAATATTTAATTATCAAGTGCTAAAGTTGACAAAAAATAAAAAAGTTAGACATATATAATGCTATAGTTTGGTTGATATCGGTTGTAGTTTGATTCGATAATGTATGAAGAGAAACGATTCAGTTTATTATAACAAAAATTTCCACCGACTTTGTTAAAATTTACTATAACAAAAACTCTGTTCTATTTCTAATTTGTTTTCTAATTTTTAAAGTTGATTTCTATAATATAATCATAAGTGAGAATAAATACATAAATGTTGGAAGTTGAAAATGCAATTGGAAATTTAACATATAGTAAGAATGCATTTTTTAAATGACGTGATTAGTTTAATAATTGAACTATTTATTCAAAGTTAATACTAGGATACTAGTGTTGATACCCGTGCGATGCACGGGGTACAATACAAGCAATATTTTTTATTTAAATATTAAAAAATTATTTAAGACAATATGAAATTATATTCTCTACAATATTCTATTCAGTAATAATATGACATTTATTTATTTACAATTATTGTTAATTTCTATATATATATATTTGTAGTTTTTGACTATTTAATATATAAATTTTCTTATATATTAGTTTATAAAATATTATAAATGTATAAGATCATATGATATTTGCATATAAATTACTTGTATGTACTTATAAAATTGTCATTTATCATAGTCTTATAATTTTTTTAACAATTCATAATTTGCACATTGCTTGATAATTGACCAACGTTTAACTCATAATATTTATCTTCCGCTATATTATTAAGTGCATTAAATGTTAAAAGCTTTGATAAATAAATTTTAATTTTTAGTAACTTTAATCCTTATGCAACACACAAATATCTTATGGTTAAATATCTTATTTTTATGTTTTCATTTTTTATTTACATTTATTTCTTTAGTTCAGTTTTTCAACCTATATAATGAGTTACATAATATCTATTCAAATATTTAGATATATTATATATTTCAATAATTACCAAGTGCTATAATTTAAATTATTATACATTGCTTTTATATTAACTTATTTTTCATTTCTAAAATAGTATATAAGAAAAAATTATATATTTTAAAAATTTAATAGTTTTTTAATTTACATAGATAATTCTAAGGTGAAATTTATAATTATGAATTGCACCCGACCATCAAATTTTATTTTTATTAGTATATTATTTAAATTTTTAATAGTATTATCACTGCATATGATATATTCAATGGGGATGTACTTTTTTATAGTTAAATTGACTACATTTTAGAAACTTTTTTTAGTATGTTAAATTATTTTTAAGTTATTATGACTTAAACATGATTATTCTGATTATTTTATTAAATATTTTAAGTACTTCTAAATAGTGAATATAATTAATTAAATTAATACCTACAACCATAGATGATAATATATTTAATCAAATCAATTTCCATAATAATTTTTTGAATTGTGTCAATAAATTACTATTTAATTAATATACGATCTTATTGAAAATATATCTAATAAATATACGGTCAAAATTTCAATCTAAGCCAATTTGTAGTGAATGAATAATAGTCATTGAGTGTATCATTTAATTATATTTTTCATGCACAAGATTTGCTAATAAATAAATATTAATTAAATGCCAAATATTGACGAAAAAATTTCCCGCCCAAAATCATGTCAATTATAGCAATAAAGATTGATTGATCCATTATATAGATATAGATATAGATAAAGATTTAGATTTACATAACCATCCATGTAGTTTATAATCCCTAAATCAAACCAAAATCAAAAAATATAGTTTCCCTATCAAATCATTTATGGAGATTTGATTTTGGTGATCTCTTGAAGCCTACATAAAAAATATTTGCTTCTGCTAGTCATAACGGTGAGATGGTTTAGGTTCATCAGTCACTATACAGGCTCATAATTGTGTATTCTCTGGAACCAAAATTTAATATCAGTATTCATCTTTTCACCATTTGTGTAATGTACAGAGCTAGAATAAGGTTTTTAGTCACAGGGGCCTAGACTTTTTGCACAAGGCGCAAGGAGCAAGTAACAAGCAAAATAATTAAAACTCAGAACACGAATTAGCTGGGGGCCAACAACAAACAGTACGCCATTGAGATTCAGCGAGTATGCAACTACATTAAGCAGATGAAATAGAAATTGGGAAAACAAAACCGAACGAAAAAAAAAATAAAAAAGAAGAACACCAGTACCTGGTCCAACACTAGGCTAAAATTTATCCTGAGCAGGTTCTCTTCTTTCCCTTTTGCTCTATAATAGTCAAAGTGCAATAAATCACAAACTTGCAGCGAAACTTGCAGCTTCTTTAGATGCTTCGTGCTTAACTAGTCAAAAATGGAAGAAACAGTGGCAAGGCTAACTTGAAAACCATTACTACATCACAAGTGAGCCCGAGCCTTCAGAATGCTACAAATCTGTAAACTCGATAATTGCTTAACAATCCGGGTACATCACTTTGGGATGGTCACATTAAGGATTTTCACATCTTGGTACGGCTTGTCTGCTTTGTCTGTCTTCACTTTCTCTATACCCTGTTAAGTTGTAGACATGTGAGCTTGTTTTTCCTCAAAACAAAGCAAATTCTACAAAAATATGGGGCCTGCTGAGACATGAGAATCACTAGCATGCCTTATCAAGTTACAAAATGGGACAATTACTGTTAACATGATAACTAACAACTATCCTAAACCTAGTTATGGAAAAATCCAATTATATATCAAAATCGTAGACAGTGTTTGAATAACAAATAGCCCCTCATCAACATTTACGAAATTAAAAAATACAATCACATGTCAACGGCATGTTATGCAATTCTGAAAGTGAATATGAATCATTGAATATTTACATGGGTTATTAAACCTCAAACGTATAGCGTTCACAATTAGCACTATGTTCGGTGACGAAAATATGAAGGAGTAAATAGTGAGTGCATAAGTACCTGTACAACATCCATCCCTTTAACAACTCTGCCGAAAACAGTGTGCTTGTTGTCCAACCACGGAGTGGCCACAGTCGTAATGAAGAATTGGGAGCCGTTGGTGTTGGGCCCAGCATTAGCCATTGAGACTGTGAAAGGCCTGTCATGCCGCAAACTGTAGGAACAAAATCCAAGTCAGAAATGCATCCCATCAGTTTTAGGGAGATCAAAACCTCAATGACTGACAGTCAGGCATTGAATCATCATAGGCTTTATGGGCAGAAGGAAAACATATCATGAATAGCAAAAACCACAGCAAACTATATCGGCCATACTTAGAGCATGTTTGTATACACAAATTTTCACTCAAAATTTCATTCAACTCAAAATCTAACTCAACTTTAACTCAACTCCAATATCCTCAATATTTATAAATATAATTAAATAATACCATCCAATTATTCTTACACATCACATCTACTATAATTCACTATTCATCCACTCACATAATTTTAACTAACCATCACTTCATATCATCTCTCTCCTACTTTTACATCAAATCAACTTTAATTATTTTATTTTGAATATTATTTTAATATAAATCCAAAATCCCACTAACAACTAACCATACCATCTTTTTCCAAATTAGCTCTAGTTAAAGAAAAAAATCCACGTTGAGTGAAAATTTTTGTATACAAACATGCTCTTACCTTTTATGGAACTCATCTTCGAATTCCCTTCCCCAAATGGACTGGCCACCTGTACCATCTCCCAGAGGGTCTCCAGTCTGGATCATAAAACCTTTGATGACCCGGTGAAAGATCAGATTATCGTAATAGCCATTCTTGCAGTGTGTTGTGAAGTTTTCCACCGTCCTAGGGCATTCTTCAGGATACAGCCGCATGTGAATATCACCCATGGTAGTGTGCAAAATCTGCAAAAAATGAGAAAAATATCGTCAGCATAATTCTTCTTCATACTTAGAAACATCACTGCTACAGTCTGCCTAATTCTTCTTTGTACTTTTGGCATTATAGGTAGATTACCACTTACCACATTATCAGGGAGAGATGTTGTTACAGCTTTTCCAATGTCTGATACGGCCAAAAGTTCATCTGCAGGGGGTTTCTCATTAAATACGTCTCTGCCCTTAGTTGCATCTTCCGGTTCCTCAGGTTCCCTCCGACTGTTCAAAATAAAATAAAACAGAAAAAGGTGATAATTTGTACCAGCTTTTCTGTACCCTATTCTAAATAATTAAATGCGGAGTCAAACTTTAACATTGAACGCAGGTGTTCTAGTAGTATAGGGTACACTAATTGTTAACAGTTAGCAACTTTGCTTTGACAGCCAATTCAGTATGTCCTTTCTCATGAATGTCTACATAAAACTATCAGTAGCGGCATGATTAACAAGCAGTTGTAGTAATAATACTGTTCTAAGGAGTTCCAGATTTCAAAAGCGTTAGCAGTTAGCATGATCAAGTTCACAAAGTTCAACAGCTAGAAATATCCCCGGACACATGGCATCATCGGGCATGTAGTACCTGAATAAGTAAATTCGATGCTTCTTGAAAGCACAACACAAGAGAGTAGGATCTATCAGAGGCTCTTTGCTTTCATTGACATTTGCAGCAGCAGCTGGAACTTTCCTTACTTTTTTACTACTTCGGTCACCTTGGTACAAAGCAATTCGCAAGAATCTATCATTGTTCTCCACCTTCCCTAGGATCCTTGCAACTTTGTTGGTATGCAGATTCACAACCTAAAAAGACACAACAGGTGAACGACATCATATACCAAATTAAAAGAATAAAATAAGAACAAAAAATATGAAAGAAATAAGATGAAGTAAATATTGAACACTTTCCCACTAGATTGACGTAGCGTACTTTAATTCCAAGAAGAGTGGCATATATGAGAAAGTTAGAGCTTTCATCAAACACGGCATTAGGTTGCGGTGCATTTTCTGTTTTTTCAATTTCTTTCTCCACAGCCATTCGCCTCCCAAAATCTATAGCTTCAAGCCTGTATAGAGCAACATCGCTCCTTTGCAGATCCTGGGCAACCTAAGGTGGAAGGCAGATAAATGTCATAACCATAAGTAGAAAGAAGACACCATATGACAAGAAGCAGGTTATCTACTACCTCAAGTGATTCATCATACACACGCCTCAATTTTCCGGTTCTAAACCAAAATACACGTATCCTACGATCAGGGGATGTGATTGAGAATTGCTTCCCGTCTGGGCTAACCTGAAATACAGTTCCAAGTGCAACTGAAAGCCTATTGCTAATCCAAAAATATATAAAGATATAGTAATACTGAACTACCATATACAACTACCAAAGAATATGATATGTTACCTCAATAGTAGAAACAGTAGTCTTGCTTTTCACAATTGCAAAAAGATCCGTATCACTTTTAAGGCTAAAAGTTACCCTGCATATGCAATATGGAAAAAGTCCCATTACACATAGACAACGACCAAACCGGAAGCCCAAAGATATGAGAGCTTAATAATTATGATAATAACTAATTGAGAAATTTTCAAATCTTAGAAAGTAGTTCAAACATCATTTGGATAAAAAATAAAACTCACAAACAGTTCAGCTAGAACCGACAGATTAGGCGACCATACTTAACTGCTAGATATTAGCTGAAGCATTAAGACCCATCAGACAGTGATAAGCTATATGAAGATCAAATGAGGCCCCATGATTAATAACATCTAATAAAACACTATTTCTGATCCATTTGCATCATGATGTGCATCTACACATGCATGACATCTCTTAAGACAAATCCACCATTAGCAAACTAACTCGATCTTCAAAAAACTTACCCCGATTCAGGGAACTGGAGTGAGGCAGGTCTCCAGTACTCAATAATCCCTTTATCATCTGCAGAAATCACAGTGTCGTATTCGTGGTTGTATTTCATACATTTTATTGGGCCCAGGTGTATCTGATCAATACGAAAGGAGCTAAAGTTTAATTTATTTTTAAACAATATTGTAAAGCAGCAGCAAGTCAACGATTCACAAGATAATAAAGTGAAAATCACTACCTCTCTAGATGCCATGGGTTCATTTGAACCCGATCGAGCATCATATATGTTAACTACAGAAGAGTTGCAGTCACTAACAGCTAATTTGGCCTTTACATCCCCTTGTTTGTAAACCCATTCGACACAACCAGCAACAAATGGAAGGCGTATCATGGCCATCATGTCATAGTTAAATACATCATATATTTTCACGGAGCGGTCATTCGAAATCGTACAACAAAGTGCCCCGTCTACACTAACCTGCAAGGCCAAGACCATAACTTAATCCAGTTATAAAATAAACGACCACAGTTATCAAATGTGAAATAAAGAGACAAGCATTCCAGAATTAAACAAAAATGTAGGTGGTCAATTCCCAGAATTTCATGAGAACTATATATATATATATATATATATATATATATGGTCAATGGGAAAGAGCTGGACCTAAAACCTCCCTAGCTGACACGCATATATTTTTATCTTTATTTATTTTCAAAGGGAGAAGAAAGAAATAAATATAGGGAACTGGGGTGTGTGGAGCCCAGGCTTGGCCCCCACCTATGCCCCTGGTCAGAACACTATAAGAATCGTAAAAGGAGTAGCCTAAATAAAAAACTGGATAAAACATCATCATATAACTAATATTATCATCGAAGCAAGAACTAAGAGGAAACTTACTGCCAGACCCTCAATTGGACCAAGATGGGACCTAAAATGTTTTGCAAACTCTATCCCAACGCCCTTTTTCTTCCAAAACTTTAAGTGTCCTGTACAGAGACCAATATATAAAAGCTTAAACATGGGTGGTGAAAACCAGTAACATCACAGGTCATTACTAATCCCTTTGAAATAATCACAAAAAAATTGGTGAAACAAATTAACATTTGACAACATAACTTATTAAATTAATTGAACGGAGTACCAGAAAATTGTTGGATTATCATGTTGTTATGACATGAATATGATCAAATAGTACACGTAAATGGATGGCGGAAAGAAACTCTGAGTATTTGAGTATAGAAATGTAAGCTACTAATAATTCTTGCTTCTGTCGGAAGGGCAGAACGCTATCCAACAAAATCTTAACAAAGATGACTGATCTGAGGTTGAGATTATTGCTAGGAAAAATAGTCAATTTCAATTTTACATTATTTTTCTTTTCTCCAAGTTCTACCCCCAACCACCAACAAAGACATATCTTCTTACAGTTGTGCAATAGTCAATATTGCTTCCCAAATGAAGTTGGAATTTTTTTAGCACCAATGGTCGCTGAATATTGATGAACTATCGTCTGACATAGTATGTCTGATGCTAATTACAAACTTACATGGCTTTTGGATAAAAGGAAAAAGGTTGGCTTCGTACTACCGGTCCCTGAATCTCACCATATGACAAGAACACATGATACACAAGACTATTCAACACAATTATCCATTTCACATTCAGTTCATAAACCTCAATTGCACTAGAGTACTACATATAAATAAAATTGTTGTGAAGCTGGTACAGAGTAACTTTCAGGCCATCTATATAAAAGCATAGGTTGAGAGAGCAGATCAGCTCATTTCAACTTGGCTCATATGAATATGATGCTTAATATGATGGTACATATAACTTATTTGTAGCAAATAAGATTGGACTTATTTCATCCCAGAACTTCAGCCATATGCACGGTAAACAAGCAGTGAGGTTCCAGAGCTTGTTCGTCCGACTTCTGCACAAGCTAAGAAATTTCAAAAGCTAATTCCATAGTTCTTTCAAAGGATTGAGCATTCTCTAGCTTGTTGGTCCAACTTTCGCACAAGCTAAGAAATTTCAAAAGCTAATACCATAGTTTAAGAGGAGTGAACATTCTCGAGCTACTCATTTAAAGTACTATAGTATATAACATCAGCTTCAGCCAAATACAGAAAGAGGAAAGTAAGGAAAAAGAATCATTTTTCCCATCAGATAAGGACATTTCACAGTTCAATGAGACTCCCAAATTCTACAACAACATACTTTCTCAAAGTTTTTAGGTAAACTGCTGCAGATAGAAGGGGATTGTAAAACATCCCCTAATAAGCTGAATTCAAATTGAAAGCACAATCCGAAGTTACATTTGCCAACTTAAGACAAACAAAACAGCATTGACTGTGAAATACTCATTTCCGCAACTTGGACTAAAAAGTTTGAGTTCACTCATACCGTCAGAACTCCCAGATATGAAGAAATCAGCTGCTGACACAGCCACGTGTGTTACCACATCGCGATGCATATAACTTTTCTCATACCTGCATTTGATTCAAACAGCACTATCAAATCCATCCCCGAAATATATTATCTTCAATAACAAATATAAGTTCGAACTGCAAAACTACGTCCCTCAAAACCAAAAACCCAAAACCCTAACAGACGCATACCCAGCAGAATTTATGCAAAACAAGCACATACATGTTGGCGGATGGGAGGGCGTCGAGATAAGCCTGTTCAAACTGCAGGGGACGTTTAGCCCGGGCACGAGGCGCCGGGCCGGGCCCAACCATGGGCTCTTCATCGTCGCCGACGGGCTGTTGTCCATTGTCTTCCCGAGCTGCTTCCATTCTCCACTTTTCACAAGTTATTGTTGTTGGTTTTCTCCCCCCTTCTACTATGTCGGGTTTGATTTGATTGATATTAGAGCACTCACAATTTTGAGTTTCTTTTTGCATTTGCACCTATAATGACATGGACAAACCCAAGTTAAAAAATTTAAAATCTATTTAATAAAAAAAAGTACTAGGTCTAAAATAGCTAACAACCAATAAAAATATAAGGGTGAAAATCTTTTTCACCCCGTTATATTTCTATTCTTTCTTTTACACACCGGTCCGTCAAATAACTTCTTTTACACCCTAAAAGTCACGAAATGCTATGCGATATTACACTCGCATGTCCAAATGAACAAGCGCATATCCAACCAGACGCATAATTTATGACTATACGAAATCATTTCGCATCTTTAGGGATCGCATATCCAAATCAAATGCATAATTACAAATATGCGAAAATATATCGTATTTTTAAGAATCACATATCCAAATCGAATGCATAATTTACGATGATTATGCGCCTTCCTTCTTTTCGCAGGGCTATACGACCTTGCAAATTTATGACTATGCGAAACTTTTTCGCATATAATTCGCATAATTTGTTGACTTCGCATTTTTTAGTAATTGCATATACAAGTCAATCGCATAATTTACTAATATACGAAAAACTTTCGCATATATCCAATATAACGCCGGATAATTGACAATTATGCGACATTTTTTCGCTCGCATATTTAAGAATCGCATAACCAAATCGAATAAAACATAGTAATTTATTTGACAATTATGCACCATTTTTTCGCAGGGCCATATCGACCTTGCAATTTTACGACTATTCGGAATTTGTTCGCATATCTATCGCATAAGTTACGCACCTCATTAAATTGACTGCTTTTTCACAGGTGAGGATTTTGTCTCTGCATTTATCATGCAGGCAAAAAAACAGTGATCTCTAACAATTTAATGTCTGCACTCTGCACCATCCATCTACTGCATTTTCTCGTTTATTTCGTTTTAATTTGTTTTGTTGTTCACTTATTTGAATGGCTAGCAACCGTGTTAAAGTATTCCTGCATTATGGTGGTTCGTTTTTCGGAGGTTCATATCTTGGTGGAGTGGCAGAGCTGATGAGAATAAATTACGGCCGACAAATGTATTCTGAAATAGTTTCTCGTGCTCAAGCATTATTAAAGGCCAATCCTCTCCATTTTGAGTACATATTGTGGGCCGTATTTGATGGAAGGGAACGACCTGTGAAGATGAAAATCGAATCCAGTGAAGATATCTTAGAGCTGATTGAAGAACAAGGAAATCCCAACATTTACCTGGAGTTGGAGAAGCGAGTAAATGTAGGAATTCCTAATTCTTTTGGTGTTGGTAGTTCTGCATTTTCCCACGAGGCCCCATATTCATATCAAGCAGGCCCTAGTTCATTTACACATACTGGATATCCTCGGGGCGCTGATGATCAAACGGCGGGTTGTTCGAACCAACCAGGTCATTCTCGTGACGATGACAATAATGATGACCAAACCAACACGCACAATGATGATTCAGGCGACGAAGACAAAGAGGTCAATGACAAGAAAATGTTCAAGTTTTTCAGGGCGTGGTATTGCGAGCATATTGAAGAGCTAAGATTAATTACCGACCATATTGAGGCTGAATTTTTTCTTGAATATATGAATCCAGGTAGCACACGACCATCAGACGTTGAGCAACGAATGTGGTCCCTTCTTATGCCGCCCACGACAACTGGATCAGATAGACAACCCAACCACTTATCCTCGAACAATTTAGAATTATCTTCGGGGATTTGTCTTTCTTTCGAAAGATGAGTTGATTTGTGCCATCCAACTTTATCACTTGCAACAAAAAGTTGAGTGTCGAACACCCAAATCCTGCACTCTATCTGTCGGTATGAAGGGTGTTCTTAAAAGTTATGTGCAAGGGCAAATGGAAATGTATGGAGAATCACTACTTTGAAACTCGAGCATACATGCGAAAGGAGTTTGACGCACAATCGATAGCATTCGGCTAGTTCCAAGGTTCTCGCTCATGTGTTCGCACAAACTATTCAGACAAATCCCCAGACGGTATCTACACGGAGAATTATTGAGCAAATGTGGGAGGAGCATGGTTTGTCTATCAGCTACAATGTGTCCCTACGTGCAAGACACCGTGCTTTTGAAAAAGTTTATGGGGTTCATGAAGAATCATGGGGGCGGCTTCCCGGTTACTTGCACATGTTGCGGGTTCGTAATCTAGGTACAATTGTCGAACTGCAACGGGATGGGGAGGTATTCAACCACTTGTTCTTTGCTCTAGGCGCTAGCATTGAGGGCTTTCAACGAGCTGGTGTCCCGGTGATTGTGATAGATGGTACGCACTTGAAGGGAAAATACAAGGGCATTATGTTTGTTGCAGCCACATTGGACGGGAATCACCAAATCTTTCCCCTCGCAATTGGCATTGGTGATCTAGAGCGTCGTGAGACTTGGAGGTTGTTTTTTACTCATTTGAAAAGGGTCTATGGTTGTTCTAAGAACCTCTTCATTGTATCGGATAAACATGAGTCTATCATACATTCTGTCCCAATAATGTTTCCCGAGGCGCATCATTCATTTTGCTATTATCACATCACAAAACAAATGAGGCCTTTTGGGAAGCAGGTATTGAACATATTTTACAAGGCGGCATATTGTTATCGGTGTGAAGACTTCTTCCGTTACTTGTCAGCCATCCGAAACCAAAAACTCGAAGCATTTAGAAAGCTAAGTAATGAAATTCCGGTAAATGCTTGGGCGAGGTGTTTTTCACCTGTACGGCACTATGGATTCATGACATCCAATTCCTGCGAAAGTTTGAACAACAAACTCCTATGGGCCAGGATGTTATCCGTGTGCTCGTTGTTGGAGTGTGTTCGGGCAACGATTGAGAAATGGTTTGCTGTTCGGCGTGCATCCGCCGAGGGTCGCAATCATCCGCTAACGCAGTGGACTCAATTGCGGTTGGATCCTTTGTTCGAGAAATGTCGTACTCTGTCCATTACCACACTCGGCATGCAAGGTTATAAGGTTATGGAAGAAACACGATTCTACGTGGTAGATTTAGGGGAAAGAACATGTGAGTGTCGTGTGTTTGAAACAGATCTACTACCTTGCTTACATGCATCTACGGCCATTCGGTAATATTAGCCAAACAACATTATCGTTTTTTTCTTTTAAAAAAAAAAAAAAAATTGTTATATTCTAATATGATGTGCAAATTTATGATATGTATACAGGGAAGTCGGATTAGATATAATGGATTTCGTTAACGACCATTACAAAACTTACTCAGTTGCAAAGATGTACCAAAGCACCATTAACCCGGTCCCGCATCCAGATGAATGGCACTTGCCCCTGGAAATTATGCGTATGAAAGTAATTCCGCCAAATGATCCCAAACAAGCAGGTCGGCCACGGACTCAACATTATTCCACTGGAGAAGGATCATCACGTCGAGTACGGCGTCAGCAGATGTGCTCTCGGTGCGGAGTCATCGGGCATAACAGGGCGAAGTGCCCTCTATACGATGGTGATAATGACTTTTTTTCAAATGAAGAAGGTCAAAACGCACCAACTCCTCATCCAAGAACAACATCGAGATGCCCGAGGAGATATCGTACTTGTAAAGAAACAGGTCACAAATCGTCATCTTGTCCATCACGTCCACTCCATGACAATTTTGATGAAGATGGAGACGTTATGTAATGTTATGTACCTCATTGGAGTTTTTAATTGTAAAACAATTTAACGGAAAAAAATACTTTTAACGGGAAAAATACTGTGTTAGTACCCTAAGTTGTGACCTGCACACGATTGACTAACAGAAAGTAGTGAAACTGGGTTGATTGCGCGATTCGCATAACATGTCCCATAATAATCGCACAATTGGGTTGATTGTGCGATTCCCATATCATGTCCCATAACAATCGCACAACTGGGTTGATTCTCAGGTTCATTCGCCTAGTCTTCAACCGCATAATTAACGAATCGTATATCCAAATCTAAAGCCGCATAATTTACGACTATCCGCCATTTTTTCGCATATCCATACATTGATTGATTGTCTGCACCGCATATCCAAATCGAAAGTGATTCGCATATTATTCGCATAGGTTACGCACCGCATTGATTGATAGTCTGCTTTTACACGTAAAAAACAGTGACGATTTGCATGCTTCCTCATTTAGTTGTCGAGTTGATGTATATCTACCTACCTTTAAATGCTATCTGTAAATGTTAAACTTTCATTCTCTTTGTTGAATAATTAACCTTTCACTTCTCAAAACCCTAGCTTTCGATCGCAGCTAAAAGAAAAAATAAAGAAAACCAAGGAGGCGCATGTTTGCGAAAAGAAAAATGGAAAAGATTTCACCCTATGAAAAGATCGTGATCCGCTTCCGTGGCGTGGACTGGACAGAGGAAGAGAAAGAAATTTGCTACTGATTGTTTTTCTTAAAGTGCCGTGAGAAGGCAGACATACACCAAGGCCCTGTGTTCAATTCCTTGTGGGCAGAAATTTCAAAAATAATGAACCAAGTGCTGAGTAGCACTTAAGCATTAAAGAGGGAGTATACTATTGTCCAAGTCCGGCGAAAGATTCAGCGGCTCAGAAATTATTTCGATGAATTTTCTGCTTTTCTGAGGATTCTAGGCGTCCTCTTGCGTCCTGGTTCAGGCTTGGTAGAGGTTTACCACATGTACTGGGTGCATGTGCGGGATGCGGTAAATTTCATTTGATTTTTAATTTTAGTTTGTTGAAGCATGCATTTTTGTGACGCGGCCATAATAACCTAAAAAGATTCAAATTTATTACACAGGAGACAGACGCACATGCATTTTTTCGTTCGGAAAGATTCCCCTGGTATCGTGAGTGTTACGAGGTTTTTACCGAGCGCAACGTAGCCGCGATCGACATGGAGGGCGGGCCTAGTGCTTCGGTTGACGACCCAATCTGGGCGGGAAGACATAGACGATGACGGTGATGATCAAATCCATCAGCCACCACCAAAGGTGGAAGTCATCGATCTCGACCCTTAGAATCCACTGGACATGTAATCAAAACT